ATTAGTCCGTCTGTTTACTTCCCTCAAATGCAGAATCTCTTTGCAGTGCCATTTTAAAAAGATCATGTTGTTATTTTGACTCAAACGTCTTGGAACCAATCTTTGAAATATTACTTTAAATTTAAAATGACCTTTATATTGATTTATCTTATTGTGCTAAAGCAAAGAAAGGGAATAAACTTACGTTGACTACAACAGGCTGAGGAACTACGACGGGCGACGGAACAGGTACAGGAACTGGCCTAGCGACAGCAACGGGAACGGGCCGGGGCACCACCACGGGGTAGGGCTGGGGCACGCTGACGGGCACGGCCACTTGCTGGGGCACTGGCACGGCTCGGGGCACCTCCACCGGCACCGGACGGTTTACAGTGACGGTGTACGGCTGAGGCACTTCGACGGGTACGGGGCGGGGTTGAATCACAGGCACTGGAACAGGCTACGAAACAGAAATTGTGAGGTAGCTGTAACAATATGCTACTTTTGCTATCTACTAACTTTTTATAACGTTGTCGTTGACAATCAACCAATTAGCGACTAGCAATTTTGCAACTTGTGCAATTAGTGCATTTTGCATTTTCAAAAGCATTAAATAACTATTTATTTAATTCTAAATGTTATACTATTATTCTGCTTTGAAACAATTAATAGTGATTACAGATGTATGTTTTAAATATTCCATGAAATTCGCAATTGAATAGCAACCTGTTTATACTAAACTAAGCAGCATTGTGCCAATATAAATCAGTTATTGCAACTAGTGAATGCTTTTTATCTAGTATTACTTTGAACGCATTTAAACAAGTAGTTCATCAACATTGTGGAAAACGAAAAAAAGAGACAAAAGTACGCTCCAAGCAGCAGAAATGAGATTTCTTAGGAAAGATAAAGGCTGCATCAAACAAGAACAGATAAAAAATTAGGACATCCGTAAAGAACTAGATATATACAACATAAACGAAAGGATCTTAGAAAACAGGAAATAATGGCGGCACCATATCGAAAGAATGGAGGAAGATCGTATTCCACAATTAGTGATGAAATACCAACCGAAGGGAAGAAGAGATATCGGCCGACCCAGAAAGAGATGGTCCTGAAGTGCAAAGTGCAGACGGAATAGGCATTTCTGCCTAATCCTTGAAATGGAGAAGAAGAAGATCAACATTGTTGAATACAGTTTTGAATACCCACCTGTGGCACAGGCACTTGACGCACGACGGTGTATGGCACAGGGACTGGCACTTCCACGGGACGCGTCACCGTGTTCACTACCACCTGCGCACCACCGCCGCCGGCGCCACCGCCCAGACCACCGCCCAGGCCACCGCCAAGACCCCCGCCGAAGCCGCCTCCAAGGCCACTGCCCAGCCCTCCATGGCCTCCTCCGTAACCGCCCCCGTA